GTTGTGAATGAGCCATGAATTCAATAATTTTATTTTATATTATTATAGATTATTGTTTTACGATCGATTTGATATATTATGGGTAACATTCGGAGGTGTTTAAGGCCTCCAAATGATTGATTTTGTGAGACAAGTTGTGCTGCCAACGTGAATGAGGACGTGATGTTAGATAGAGTTTATGAGCATGTAAATATCTTATATTTGTGACCAATTGAATATATCTTCTAAGTTATCATGGTAGGATTATTTAGGAGTTTATACCATAGCGAAATTCCATGTTTATATGCAAAATTCTATCTTCTTATGAGTATGTATATTCTAAACTCTTGGATTGCTGACAGCATGTTTAATATATCTTCTTAGGTCTTAAATTAATTATCTTGATTGATTTTATTGCCTAATTTGAATTAGCATCATGTTAGGATATTCCCTAAATTGATATATCATGATTTTATATAATTTAAGATAGTTTAAAGTGCCTAAATTAGTGCAACATAGCTGCTGCCCCTAACCTGCTAGGTGTGTGAAAGATGGTGATATTCAATAGTGTATTCCTTGATTTCTATGAGAAAATGCATGTTTAACATGGCCTATTATGTTTTGAGAGTGTGTGCTAAAATGGGCTAAACTTAGTTTCATGTTTAAGGTTGGTTTTTGGGAGATTTGGTGTGATTGGTGCTGCTGCATATTAGTGTAGGGGCTGCTGTAAACATGATTTTATTTTGGCATGTTCTCTCTTGAATTTTAAGTCCAGAATGGTTTTATATGATGCCTAATGAGTGTATGTATATGCCCTAATTTTTATTTCGCATTTGAAGCATGTTTGGTTGGGTTTTTATGATGATTATTAGACTTGTATGTTGCTGTCCCGTTTTGGTTGTTCTATGAAATGATGGTTTGGATATTTGGTTTAATTAAATGATTTTATGTAATTTTTTTATTGTAAGTATTTCAATTTATTTGAAATTATATTTTTAAATAGGTGATGACTGAATTTTTGGGTATTATAAACCCCTAAAGTGAAATATTTCTATGTGTGTTTGAATATGTGTGGGTTGTAATTGTATTGTCGACGTCGTAATGCTTTAGTGAAGGATAACACTGTCTTTAGCATCACTTCGCCAAGAGTTGTGAATGCACTTAATTGTTAAATTTCAATAATTAATTATATTCCCAAACTCAGACGATACTTTTTGTGTTTTATTAAGTTGAAGTGTGTTTTGAAAGGGAGTTTTAGTTGAATTTAAGAAATATGGTTTTCTTATGCAATTTGAATTGAGTGTAAGACCATTTTTGGCTTCTCTGCAGATTTCTGAGTGAAATATATCGTATTATCTATTTTAAGTGATTTATGAATTGTGTGTGGGGCCATAGTCGGGTATGAGGCCGAGTCGCTTCCCTATGGTTAATGAACATGCTAACTACCTAGATTGCGAGTCTTAGGTAGCTCAACCTGGGTTAATTGTTGTCGTCCGGGGGTGTGTAAGACCTTATAGGCATCTACCCATAACCGGGAGTTGGCCAATCTTAGATACGGTCTCTGCGAGATGACCGGGGGTTCGTCCTGACAAACCTTAGGAAGTGGATTGCGAGGCCACTAGCGTTCCCTCCATGCCAGTTCTATTGTTTTGAAGGCTTTGGGTTTGAAATATTTATATTATTAAATTATTACTTATTTGAAGTCTATATATTAATATGATTGAAATTGAGTGATTTAATATCGATAAATCTGTTTTAAGTTTATTTTGAAATATTTCGTTGTTTGTATGGTTTAATGGTTTTAAGTGATTTCATTTGAGTTTTCAAGTTGATTGTGGTTATGGTTTCTTTATGTTAATTTAAGTCTAGGATCTTCTATTTCTGATTTGAGGGAGAACTGCTAGTTGCTCCCCACTGATTGTGGAACGTTGTTATAATTTGCAGGTTTCATTTGTTTATTTGATATCTGTGACGATGGGATGTGGATTGAGAGTTTAGAACCTAACTTTTAGGCTTGTATGCCTTTGTTGTTAGTTTACTATTTAATTACTTTGAATTTAGTCCAGTTTGGCGATAAGGGTTGTTCTGCCCTTGGCTTTTTGAATGTAATTGATTTGTCCATGTTAAAGTTTGTTGGCTATTTTCTTTTGTTCACATAGTTTGCGCTTAGCTTAAACAACTTAATTTGGTTGTGTGAATGAGTTAAATTTTTCCTTTGGACATAGGTTAAGCTTGACTTTGCCAATCGAAGTTAAGTGGCCTCCCGTTCAAGCGTAATTCCGCTAACGCTTCCAGTTCCAAAAGGACGGGGTGTTACAATGGGAATGAAGGTAGTTGATTTAATTTTTCGTCAAAAAAAAAATTATTTTTGAAATTGAAAAAAAAAAACAAGAAAGGAACAAGTGTCCTTCCAACTTCCTGTTTTAAAATATTAGTATTGATTAGAATGTATCCGTGCTACTACACGGGATAAATGTGTGTTTAGGGAAAAAATAGTATAAGTGGAAGTTTTTTTTTTTTTTTAGGGTAAAGGAAGTTATGGATAAGTGTTAATTTGGAGTTGTAGCATGCAATTATTAGGAAGTTATTTTTATTAAAAATACATTAAAAAATAAAAATAAAAATAAAAAAATAATAAAAAAGAAGAAGAAGTGCATGAGAATTGAGAGTTGGAGTTTTGGAGGGATGTTGCGAAAACGACTCTTAATTATGTATAAGAGAGCAGAAACTTATTTAAGCAAATTATTTAATCATCTTAATTATTCAATTTAATCACTTTGTCCTGTTGTCTACCTACTGGAGATTGAAGGAAGAGTTCGAGGTCGACGTGGGTGAAGCAATTGCTGCAAGACACGCCCTCTCAAAAACCTTAAAAGCTGGTTTCCGAAGTGTCATTCTGAAAACCGACAATCTGAAGTTGTATCAACACCTGAAGCACAAAAAGAGCCAGAATTCCAGCTTTGGTTTAATAGTCAGGGATATCCTCGACTTAGCAGATTCTTGTAGTAGCTTTTTGGTTTCTCACGTGGGTAGAAAAGAAAATGGCCAAATGCGGTAGCTCATAGGCTTGCTCAAAGTAGTGTAATGTTTGATGTGATGCGTGTTTGGATGGAAGAGGTGTCGGATTGTGCATTCGATACTGTAATCTTTGATGTTTTGAGCTTGTGTTAATATATTTCCCCGTTTTCTCGTCAAAAAAAAAAAAAAAAAAAATTAATCACTTAATTAGTTATCATTATCATTTTACAATAGAAGCAATTAATGATATAATTTTACAATCTAGCTAATAAGAAGCCCAATTGTTTATAACCATTTCAATTATTCATTTTAAAGTGATACATGATTATGTGGCAATATTTGATGATGTGGCTAAATAAGAGAAAGAAAGTTACACATGGTATTTGGATACTCATTGCCTTTATTTTGGTGCGAGTACTCATTGCCTTTGAGTCTTAATTATAAACTAGTTATTGGCTCGGGCGATGTCCCAAGTCATTATAAATTATTTTAATCGAAGTTTGCTTGTCATTGAGAGCTTAAGTGACGTTTTTTTTATAAAGATGATAGGTTAAATAGTTTGTTGTTTGTATGAACTGGTTTGAGTATAAAAATAAGGTTAATTTTTGAATTACCATCCAAAAATGTTACCATTTTTGAACTAATCACCCGTTTAATTTTTTATTTTAAATTACCACCCTTTAAATTAAATAAATGCTCATATTACCACCCATTTCAAAAATCCGGTGGATTTTCCGTCTGTAGGCCTTACCTAACACTTATTTTGATCCTTTTGACTGATTTTTTCCCCGATTTTTCTCTTTAAAAACGCTCTCTAAACTTTAATTCACATTTCCTTCACCAAATTCTACCAAATTTCAAAGAGAAAAAGGTGAATTGAAGTTAGGAGAGTGTTTTTAAAGAGAAAAATTAGGGAAAAAATCATTCAAAAGATCAAAATAAGCTTTAGGTCGGGCCCACAGACGGAAAATCCATCGGATTTTTGAAATGGGTGGTAATCTGAGCATTTATTTAATTTAAGAGGTGGTAATTTAAAATAAAAAGTTAAACGGGTGGTTAGTTTGAAAACGGTTACATTTTTGGGTGATAATTTAAAAAATTTCCTAAAATTAATTTTTTTTTCATTAAAATAAAATCTTTATAAATTTGATGTCAAAATATATACTACTCCATAATGCACAAAATCCTTTTACTCTATAATTACAGTTTCGATGGGATTCGGTGCATTAGTGCTGGTATGATTGCACCACTATAATTACAGTTTTATGAATTAATGCACAAAATAAAAATGGAGTAATGTTTAATATCTTACAAACTTTATTATTGAGTAATTATTAAGGATCGGAGTTACATTCCAAGGGAAATTTAGATAGGGTGTTATGCATATGAAGAGGTTATCAATTAAACATTAATACATGGAGTTAATGTATGAAGTTTTTCAATTATTAATGTTTTGATATGATTTGGCGACACATTATATGCGAAATGGCAAAATTAGTGACACATGGCAAAGTAGCATGTCTTGCCATGAGTTTTAATAATATACTAATTTTTGGGCCCGGGCGATGCCCCGGATTATTACATGAAACTGATCAATAATATATGTTGTAATTTATGATTCAATTTTCTTGTAATGAAATTTGTTGTTTATATTGTGATTTGTTACATATTTTGTATTCTAAAGATCATATAAAAAATCACATAGCTTGGTGGTAAGACACTTAATTATAGAGTCAGAGGGTTGTGAGTTCAAATCTTGTGGTGTTATAAGTAGTTGCATGGGTGACGTGACGTAGTGAGGAGAGTTTACATGACACGTGAACATTGTTAGAAACGCCTTTTAATATATTATTATAGATATATTGATATAAGTAGTTGCATGGGTAACGTGATATAGTGAGGAGAGTTTACCTGTTTACGTGACACGTAAACATTATTAGAAACGCCTTTTAATATATTAGTATAGATATATTGATATTGATATACTGATAAGAAGATAGGAATTAAACACTCCATCAATATCCCAAGAGCACGTTTGATTGACAGTTTGACAACATAAGTTTATACAAACTAAAAGCGTGATTTACAGAACATCTACTACTAATTAATTTACATAATCTCTCTAGTGACACCATAAATCAACACAAGTACTTTGCAGTTTGGTAGCTCAAACGGCAGTATTAAAGCCAGGGAGCCAAGTGTTCTTATAGACATTAGAAATAAACTCGGCAGTTTCAGAGAGACCCCTTTTCATGTCTGAAATTTTCTTTTCGGTGTACTCCTTGCACCTGGAAACTGAATCAATCAAAGCAAATAGCTCATATGCACAAAGTTGTATTTCTTTCTCGCTTTGTCTTGTTTCCTCCTGGAGCTTCAACTCAGCAGCCTTCACAGACATATAACACAGATATTATGCCAGTATTTCATATGAATAAATTACATCAATAGTAGGTTTTGGATGATAACTTATGTTATTCACACTTCATTTTCACCTCATATAAACAGTTTCTACTTTGACATGGGTAAGGACAATTTGATACTCCAATTTGTACCAAAATTATGGATAATCTTTGTATCCTAACCAAATCCAACACTTGGATTCTCACTACTTTGACATGGATATGAACGACACTCCATTTTAAAACAAAAGTGGACATCCTTCATAAAATAGCCAATTGCGACACTTGGACATGTGTGGGATGTACCCACAATTGACACTAGTATCCAAGTTTGAGTAAGGACCTTTCACCTTACCACTATATATACAGTAAACATCTGATAGCCTCTTTTAGCATACATCTCACAGCAATATCACCAATATTAATCAATTACTTCAAAATATTTGTAAGAACTCATACCTTCAAGGTGTCATTTGCTTCTTGCTCCATGATTTCAAGGTTATGCTCCTCTGCCTCTATTTTTTCTTTAATCCTTTGAGCTTCACTTGAACACCAGGATGTGTATTCCTCGATTTGATTCCTCATTACTTCAAACTCTCGTTCCCTCTATAATGTTAATTTTATTTTTCAGTAGATCAGCCTCACAATATTAATTATAAAGAGAAAAAGGAAATGAAAATCATAAGAGTTAAAACAGGAAATGTGACACGGAATTTTATATCTGATATGCATGAATATATCTTCAGCCTCTTAATGAATGTGAATGTCACAGTAAATTGAAAACCTGATAAGCTACTACTCCTTTTTCCCCATCACTTTTATATCATTCAATAGCACAAATAGTAAGGAGCCAATCATAACAAAAGGTGAGCCAATTATATCCCGAACAGAAGTGAGTTGATGCATGAGGAAGATAACTTATGAACTGATCAAACAGCATCGGTGATAGGGTAGGTAAGTTTTAAAATATATTACAAGAAAACCCACAATTTGCATAAACTTGATCTCAAATATGAAATTTAATGTCATGATTTTGTATAAGAACTGAAGGTACTCTCATGCATATTTAGAAAGAAATGAATACATGTTGGCCACGGTTAGCAAACATCTGGAGAAATCCCACTTTTGGATAGCAAATCCAATAAATGAGAGAAATAAAAGTTTGAAATTTACAATATAGAATTTAAGAAAGTTTATCAAGTTTTCTTTTTGCTTTTTTTTTTTTTTTTTTCTTGACAAAAATATCAAGTTTTCATGTAATGAAAGGTAGTTAAAACCAACCTTTCCAAATTAAAAACTTGGGAATCCTTCTGTAGTCAGTATTTTTGACTAGTTTAACAGTTGACATACAGCTGGAAATTTCTGTGAGAATTTGCAGTTAAGGCATGCACAAAATCTTCATTCCTTTCAGTAACATAGAAGAGTTTGAGCATTTCATCACTGAGTTGTCTGTACATGGCATGATGGCACATCTTCATTTTCTAAGTCAGCGCTTAGTGTTCTCAATTCCTTTCTCACCTACATTAATTGATGTGTATACCTAATATTCTACCTTTTCATGCCTTTTGTCAAATACTTCGTATTTATTAAGAGTGCAGTGTTCCACTAGGGACTTGAGGAGAATGGGTCATCAAGAGGTTGGGAGGATGGAAATAAGGTTGCAAATGATCCCAAATATAATTCAGATTGTATGCTTAGCTTCAATTATCAAAATTGTATGCAATAATCCTATCCCAAGGACATCAGAATAGGATGTGAATCTGATCAAATCCCAGCATAATCTCCAAACAGAAAAAAGGAGTTTAAAATAGCCACTATATACCCTTAAAAGAGAATTTACTAAGAGGAGGTATACCAGATCTTTCTAATTTTTACTAAAAGCATTTCTCAAACTTTCTTAAGCAAGACACAGTAACTTAAAACCAGAACACATCAACACAGGGATGCAATGTGAAACCGTAAAAAGTAGCATTATCCTTGGTTCTTTTCTATCTCTCACTTTCATGTATTCATCTCTGAAAATCCAAGCCTTCATAATTGTAGCTTCTTGGGGCAGCCATCTAGTTATCATCATTTATCAGTTAGATTTAGGACCTTGTTAATTGTTTTCATAATAAAAGTCATCTCTTAAATCCGTAAATTTTGTTTTCTCTCATCTGTTAATGAATTATTTAGTATCTCAATGTTGGAGGGTTTTGGTAGCACTCTCTGTTTATCACCTACATATTTTGGCACGATTTTTTTGTTGGTCGTTGTGCTAGCTAACATTCTTCCATTCTTCAGAACCAAGAAAAACAAATCAGTCTACATCTCAAAAAACTTGAGGGAGATTGTTTGACACGTAGAGGAAGGTCGTACCGAGAGAATAGTAAAAAAAACAAGCAGAAGTGTCCAAAACTAGCTATCTAGGAAATTAGTTTATTTTAGCATGTGGGAGTGTCTAAAACTAGCTATCCAGGAAATTAGATAATGTCATTATTCTTCATTTCGAAGTAAGACCAACCTTTAAAATCTCTCTTTGGACATATAATTTTCAATTTCCAGGAGCTCTTTTAAAATAAAGCATGATAACTTACTTGATCAATGTGCAACTGAAGTGCGGCAAGACGATTTCTCTTTGCTTCAATCCTGTTGCTCAATTCTTTAGATTGTTGTTGAAGGGCGATAAACTCCTCCAACTTGGCTGTAGTACTTTTCTTAATCTCATCAGCACACGCTCTGATTGCAGGCTTAAGTGTAGATTTGTAGTTTATGCCCAACACTTCAGCAGGAGTAGACCCATTAGCATTCAACACATACTGAAAATCACCTCCATGCTTAGTGATTGCAGGCTTAAGTCTGCAGTGCAATGATCAAAACTCACTTAATTAGAGACAAGTTATATCATCAAAAATTCAATTCCAATTACACAAACCGATTTCCATAATAAAAAAGAAAGCATCTCTTGAAGGAATTAACTTCAGAGAAAGGATCAATAGATAACTAGACACACCAATCCTGGAACCATTGACTTCCTGAACATAAAAGACTAAATTTTCTAATCTGGTTATACCCAAATGATCACCAATTCACCATAAACACAATTTTCATAAGATACAGAAGGAAACTATAAATTTCTCTCTTAACTCATGAGAATCCCAGGCTTCATGGACTCAAATCATCAAAGTAAACACTAGCCAGAAATACCAGGAAAAAAACTTTGCAAAATCAAAGACCACTCTGTTTAAAAAATATAGCAGGTTTTTAAGAGCTAACTGCATTGAAGTGACAGCAACCAAATGATTCCACAGATGGAAAAGCATGTAGATCTGATGATTTCAAAAATCTGGATGCATCTAAGTTCTGAAATTACTAAAATCAGTTCCTTCACACCAAGTTTGAACACCCAAATCTAAAAGTGCTGATCGTACTCATGCAAGTCATGCATCTAAGCTCTTCCAAAACCTGAAAGTAACCAGCAAGCCAACCCAATACCATATATATATATATATATATATATATATATATATATATATATATATATATATATATATATATATATATATATATATATATATATATATATATATATATATATGTATATATATATATATATGTATATATATATGTATATATATATATATATATGTATATATATATATATATATGTATATATATATATATATATATATATATATATATATATATATATACATATATATATATATATATATATATGTACATATATATATATGTACATATATATGTACATATATATATACATATACATATATATGTACATATATATACATATATATGTACATATATATATATATATATATATATATATATATATATACATATATATATATATATATATATATATATATATATATATATATATATATATATATATATATATATATATATATATATATATATATATAATGGAAAAACATACCTTCTTAGAGTCTGGTTGCACTCAACAGAAAGGGCCTCAAGTTCTTTGTGCTTCTGCGCAATAGCTACATGAATATCCCAAGACTTCTCCTCCCAAGAGCTTCTGCTGGCCTCAGCCTCACTAATCTCCCTCTCCACAGCCTGCAACTCCCTTTTCATCCTCTCAGCATCCCTCAAGTTAAACTTTTGAGCATCAACCCTTTTCTGAAGCTCTTCATTTTCCTCCCGTGTCCTCTTGATCTCCTCCTCTTTAGCAGCCAACTCCATTTCCTTCTCCTCCAGCGCCTTCTGGGTGATGGAATTTCCATCCCGAACTTGAGCAATAAACTCCTCAAACTTCCTCAAGTCACCTTTAAGATCCTTGCTTTGATTCTCATACATCTCCCTCTCAGAAGGTTTGGATTTCAATCCTTCCAGCTCTGACTCTAACTTCTGTACTTCGTCATCCAACGACTTCAAATTACTCGCCAACAACTCCTTCTCCCTCTCCATCTTCTCTGAAAACTCTTTATCCAATACCTCAACAGCCTCATCATCACCCCTCATATACGGTAAATAACTATTCACAGAATAAGCCATGAGAGCATCCTTCATAAATGAAAACCTGTTGCAATTATACAACAAGTCACGATATGATCATCTTTGAAAAATCATACTAAATGCAACTTGTTTTGAAATGGAAAAGAACTACAATTCCTTCATAAATGCAAGAAAAGTAATACACCCTACATCCAGAATTAATCATGAGAATGCTAGTTTCATATACATTATCAATGTGACTGTTAATTCCAAACAGAGCAAAAAATAACAACCCAAACAAAATAACATTACAAATTTATGAAAATAAATTGCAAACCCAATTGATCACCTCCTGAAACAACACCAAATCGTACCACAACCCTGATCATATTTAAAGTATACTACTCGACAACTTAAAAACTAGTCTAATTGGACTAAATGCAACAAGTTATCTATCCTTTCAACAGTGAAGAAGTTCAATTTCTACAATTATTCACAAAACTAAAACTTCAGTCCCTCTATCAGGAGTTGATTATCACATGGCTTGTTTGTAGTTCTAGATACACAATCGACATGACTATTAATTCCGGACAGAGAGAGTAATAACATTCCGAACAATAACACTACTATAAACCAAAATTATTAATCAATTTAGCGAAATAAACCTGCCAGTATTCTCATCGGAAGCAAGATGATCAGTATAATCAGCAAGCTGAACAAGCCAATGAATAACAGCAAGCATCTGAGGAAAAGCGTGAGGAGCAGCAGGGGCACGAAGCGCAGATTTGTTGATCTTATGAGGGCAATTCAGACATTTCAGGATCAGAAAAAGCTCATCCTCAAGAATCCTCTTAGCAGCGCCGGGATTGCAGGGGAAATCGAGGCGAGAGAGGAGAAAACGCAGCACTTCAGTGACGTCTTTGGCGGAAGGAAGAGGTTTGAAGGAGAGGGAAAGTGAGACGCCATGAGAAGCGAGGTAGGCGTTGATGGATCGCACCATTGATTGTTTGTCGGTGGGGTGTCTGCTGGTTGCGGCGATGCCGAAGGAGGAAGATGAAGGGCGGCTGCTGCAGAGGCTGGCGTCGGAATCGCGGCCTCCGCCGCCGAATTGAGGGGTTGCTGATGGCCGGAGGGGTTCACGGTCTGAAAACGGTAGCCGTGTTGCGGCGCCTCTTGGCTTCATTTTCCGGTGGGGTGTGTGGGGAGGGAAATTAGGGCTTAGTGGTGGGGGGAGTTGATGGGATGAGATGAAATGAATTTTGAAGTTTTGAGTTTATAAAGTTGCAACGGTGTGCTATGGAGGGTTGAAATGATAGGGCCATAGGGGAGGGTAGGAGGGAATTTACCAATTTGAATTATACAATTTCATAGGTAGGGTCTATTCTGATTCACTGAAGTGAACTGAGAATAGACCTGTCATACGTTTTTTTTTTTCTTTTCTTGTAACAAGCAATTAGTAATGGAATCTAATAGAGGTTGTTAAATATCTCCCTCCTAATTTATCAAAACCGCCATCATTTGAAGTAAAATGTCAATCCTGTCCTTGCTAAACCTTAACCCATTTTTCCTCCTTTTTTTTTCTCTTACCTCAATCACCCCAACTGTTTTAGGTGATTTTGTGATTTCCCCTGGGACACTGGTCAGGTTCTTCTGATAAACGGCCCGAAAACCTACAAAACACGAATATTCCGTTGCCGGAATTTTCTCCTCCGACGGTTAAGTTTATAGTCGGTTGACGAAAAAGCTAGAGAGAGAAAGAATAGAGAAGTTGGAGTTGTTTTTAATGCTCTATTGAATGTTATGTCATAATCCACCCCTCCCATCATAAATGATTGGGATATTTATAAGGGTAAGGATTTGTGCCTTTTAGGTTTATTACCCTAGAATGACGTTTTCTGATTGGCGGCGCAATCGGGCATGGACACATGTCATTGGGGGGCGCCGTTTTGCGGCTTTCTTGGGATTTGGGCCTCTTGATGTAAGGAGGCCCATTTTCTCTCTTTTTCAGGTGCTCTTTGTAAGGTTTGCATACGTGTTATCTTCCTATAGTGACATGTGTTGCCCTTTGATTAGGCCACTACACGTGTCACCATGGGATTGGTCCACGTTTTGGGGTAATTTTTACCCCAGACATTTGCCCCTCAGAGGGGGTGGCTCGTACTCTATGGGGCACCTCCTATGTTTTTCTACTCGTTTGGACATGTCCGAGTATTTGTAGAAGTTTGAGCATTGTTTTGATATGCGGACAGTACCACCCGTCTTATCTGGGGATTTCTCCCTTGGGCTGAACGCTTGGTCCATTTCGCCTGTAATTCCTTTATTTAGACACTTCTAGGTCTTGAGGTTAGTCGGACGCAGCAGGCCGACTAACTTTTTAGGGAGGAAACCTGTTGTCCGGGTTTTCGGAACAACGATTTGGATTTTGCTGACCTAGCCGTCTATTTTGACGTGTCGTTGCCCGTTCGCCTTCCCTTCTGTTTAAAGTGACGGAATTGGTTTTTAACCATTTGAATTCTAGGTTAACTTTTTCAAAAGTAACCGTTCAAATTCTTAGGTGGGAAAGACGGATTTACCATTTTGCCCCCATAAATTTTGCCTATAGATATAGGATGTTTGACTTCATTTTGTTACTTTGGAACTTTGAGAATTCGAGAGAGAGGTCAGAGCTTTTTAGAGAGAGAAAGTGTTTCTTCCCTAAATTTTTAAGAGCTCCGCTGTACATTTGAGTTTTCCTAACAGAGCTTTTGAGTTTTCCAGTCAATCTTCGAGGCTTTCCCAAGTTTTCTACACGGACAAAGTTAACCTCCTGTCCCCTTTTCTTCGTCTTTTACTTTACTTTGTATTTCATTTCTATTTTTAAATCTTTCTCAAGACTCGGCTTTGTCAATTTCTCCTCACGAGGCCGGCCGTTCGCCTGGGACTGAGGAGTCTAGAATGGACGGGGGAGAGTTGTCTTCCTCGTGGAATGGGTCCAATTCTAATGTTTTCCAACTCACATCCACCTATTCTTCTCTGTCCCTACAGTCACAAATGACTCGGACCATGCAGACGTACGACAAGTACGCCGCTAGAAATCTAGGCGGCAGTTTGGTAAACCCAAGGGTTCCTATGATCTGAGTAACACGGACGGGGAGACTGCTACCACCACAAACACCAACACAAACACCGTCACATTCAGTGGCAGCGAATGCTCGACAATTGATAACTTGTTATTCGATATGATTTTAGGGTGATTTTGAACCTTGTTTACTTGATAAATTGGTGTTTTGGTTCACTTTTACTCTATTATTATGCAATTTTTGTGTATTATATTCTTCACATGTTGTTAGTGTTTTTGTTGAGTTTTTAGGTCCAAAGACGACCACTTGAAGCATATGAATGATAAATTGAGGTTAGAAGCAAAGATAAAGGGGAAAAAGTCGAAGAAAATGTGAAGAAAAGGGCCTAAGAGACCCTTCACGGCCGTGACATGCCTTGCACGTCCGTGCAGGCGTGTTCCACCAAGATCAGAAGCGTCTTCCTAAGTGTTTTAGAGCATGCACGGCTCTGCAGAGTTGATCACGTCCGTGCAAGACCCCTAGCACGCCCGTGCAAAAGCCTGCACGTCCGTGCAGTTCACTTAGGCCAAATCAATAGCAACCTGATTCTACACATCATGGCATGCACGACCGTGCTTAAGTTGGCACACCCATACAGATGATGTTGCACGCCCGTGCAGGATTTCCATGTCAAAACAGAAGCTGCTGAACCTTTGTGCCTTGCTCTGCACGGCCGTGCATAAGGTGGCACTACACGTCCGTGCAGGTTAGGCTGCACGTCTGTGCTAAGCCTGGCACGTCCGTGCAGACCTGCAGGCGTGTTCGACTCTTGTTTTCTCCGTCTTATTTATTTGGGGGTCTTATAAATAACCCCTTAAGCTCATTTGTACGACATCCAAGTTTTTAAAGCTTTTCTTTTAGTTTGTAATCTTAAAATACAAAAACTCTAAAATCATTAGTTAGATTTTAATTATTAGCTTGGAAATTTCAATCTCAGTCATTGTAGAAGACAAGTTCCACCATTGTTATTCTAAGTTGAAGCTTCTAGTAACATTTCTTACTCTTCTTTTCCATTTTAATTGCTTTAATTGTTAATTACTTGCTTAATTCTTGTACTCTTAGACTGTTATTTAGCTTAATCTTTAGTTTTGAATCTTGTTCATGAATTGCTTAAATTTCTTTAATTTATTAATTGTTTTAATTTCTTAATTGCTTTAATTTTGAATCTTTAGTTTTGAATCTTAATTGCTTTAATTTCCATGAAGTGCGAGTAGTCTAATTTTCTAGGGTTTGGGTAAAACCCTCAATGTAGTCACTAATTACTTGTTGCATGTGCTAATTTGGTAATTGTTGGGTGTTAATTAGTTGAGCTTAAGTGGTTTAATCGCTTAGCTCTTGTATATGGCCATTGCTAGAACTATTTATCTAAGCTTTCTCAACGAAGGATTGAGAGATGAACTTGAGTTAGCTCCCTTATGCTTAATTGACTTGAGTTAGTACCATGAGAATAGGAATTTCCAGTCAAGGGAATGTTTTTGTCATCGTGAATATGCTTTAATACTTGTTTTATGCTTTGTAACCACGAGAGTAGGTTATATTCATGATTCAAGTAATCCCTCTAGCTTAAGAGAGTAGTTAGGTGCTTTATATGAATTCCCCTGTACTATCCCCTTAATTTACCTTGATTGTTACGTGCTAATTGTGATTTGTGATGAGTTGAGTGGTATAACCAGAGCCCTAGAATCCTCTAATTATTGTTAATCTCCCCTTAGCCTTAGTTGATTTGAACTAGTACATGTTACTTAAAACCAAACCAATATCGACTTCATTTAGCTTATTTAAGCGGCAGTATCTCAGTGGTTGATTCAACGCCACTCTTGGGTTCGACCCTCTCTTACCCTTGCTATTAGTTAGTGAGACTAAGATATGACTTTATCTTTGGTAGGCTTAATGACGGCCTATCAACGGTCAAAGTGACCACCTCATTCAAAGAGCGTCAAAGGCAAGGTGTAGACACCTACTTTTGGCCTCTTGTCCTGAAAGGAAGTGCGATGATGTTACAAAAACCCGTTCTTCATGCTAGATCAAAGTTGAAGTGTTTATGGACTACGAAATGCATTATAAGGTAAGTTAAAACCCATATTTGAGATCAAGTTATATTAGAGCCTTTTCCGATTTCTAATTAGGCCTAAAACATGCTCATACATGTTTAAACTTAATTAATAATGAACCCAAATACAACAAATGCAATGATTCAATCCAATGGATCTTACATTATTGAAAACCGAGCAAAACAGATAAACCAACCATCATATTTCCGTTCATGGCCTACACATATGGATAGACCTTTCAAATAGATTTCCAACGGTATATTATAAGCCTAATTTCGAGCTAAAACGAAGAAGTTATGATCAAAACACTAGACCGGGCACTAAAACCGACACCCTTGCACTCCAACGGCCATATCTTATGATCCATAGCAGATTTTAACCTAATTCCAACGGCATTGGAAAGTATAAATTCAGAGATTTCCAATGATATCTCACACTCCTAAATAAAACTTTGCAATCAAAAGTTATGGAAATTTAAAAACGTGTTTTCGAATAAGGCAAACTGCATCCCAGCGCAACTCAGTAAGTTGCTTACGCGACTCGTTGAGATGCGAGTGGCACCGAGCGCGACTCAGAGAGTTGCACGCGCCACCTGACAGCGCGACTCTAAAACCATAAACCTAGATCCCTACACCTATAAATAGGGCTCTTCGTTCAGCATTAAGGGGACCGAAAAATCAAAATTAAAACCCTAGCATTCTCTAAACCCTAATCTATCAAGTTCTCTTACCATCATACTACTTTTCTTCTCTCTTCCAAAATACTTTCCAACCCTAATTTAATCCATTGAAATCCTTGGAGGTACGAAGAAGGAATAAAGTCCATAGACGCATTAAACGGAGATTTAACATAAAAGAAGAATGGTTAGTTTCCTGAGCACTTAGATAAATCACTTTTCTTTTATTGTTTAAATGACTTTAATTGAATAAATAGTGTTGTTTGATCACTTTAAACAAACTTAAAATTAATTAATTCACATAGTATTCTTTCGTTAATCAAGACTAGAATTTGATAATTAATTGTTATTTTATCACTTAAGACAAGGCTAATATTGTTTATTTTGTTCTTTTCTCAAATATTGATCAAACAAAGAATAACGACTTTTGCAATGTAATTCCTACGTGATTAATGCTTGTAAATAAAATCAACTAACTTAATCTTTAGATATCACGTTGCATATATTATTTGGTGATGAAATTGTGAAAAGGGAAGAGCTGGTAGTGGCTGTAACTAGGGCTAGAATAGCGATTCCTCCCTAAAAGGAACGTTATTTTAGTACCCTCGCTCCCGAACTCATTTCTGGTACATGTAGACCAATTTGAGCATGGGTAAACTTACAATTCGTGCTAATTATCCCTTGAACTCTACTTGGGAGAAAGGCATGAATGAGGTTTATGAGTTTTCCTAAAACTCATTGGCGACTCCTACTTGTTTCTTACAAAAAAAGCGTGATGAGAGTATAATTTCTAATTCAAGGTCTCC